CGGCCAAGTGCCTTTCGAAAATTCGACGACGCGAGAATCGTGGCTACATTGTGTCGATTTCCACCGATACTTTGTCGTCTCTCGCGGAGATCGTTTTTCGGCCACAGTGGATTCTCTACGCGATGGAATGAGCATTGGTGTGAATCGAGTGTTGTGTACGTGGCCTATGAATTTCACTATTTTGTGATTCTTCAATTTCGCATCCTTTTTTTATCTTTTAAGGATAATTGTCGATAGATAATTTCTAAATGTGATTTTGAAAATTTATCTTCCGTCATTTTTCAGAATAATTTATAGCTTTTCAATGTGAAGAAGCTTAGGATTGAAAAAATTGCAGCTATATTAAGAATAGGAGGTATATCTATTATATAATACATATACTCGGTGGCCTATTTGAAATGACCTAATCGAATATTTTAAATGACGTTGGTAACATTAAAAGATACTTATAAGAGCTAAGTGATTTTAAAGATCACATAATTTGATATTTAGTAGTTGTCAATTATTATTATTAATTAAAAATAGTAATCACAGCTTTAATTTACTTGCATGAAGTTAGTTTTATTAAAGTATTTGTTAATTTTAAAAAATAACGGAATCAAAATTTATAGTAATATTACAAATTTTTCATAGTACAATTATCTTAACCTAACTTTGAATAATTTTTTATTTAATCTATTTTTGCTATAACAGAAACGTAGAATTCCTTGTCAAGAAGTTTCAAAATTCAAAAGTAAATTCTCCTAGTTGAAGCATTCATACCCAAACTGATTCTTATTTTAAAATTAATGCAGCCTTATTAACATATTCCTCTTTCGTGAAATCTAATGACCCGACTAAAAAAGAGGAAAGAAAAAGAAAAAACAATAATTGTGACGAAGCAAGGATCAAATGAAATTAAAGCTTGGAAAGATAGTTCCAGGTTCAGTCTATCATTATTCCAACAACCCCAGATCTTCCATCATTAAACAAAATTTTATAAAATAATATCACCAAGAAACCGTAAAACGAATCTGCGTCCGAACAGACTTCCCGAATACAAAGTGTCCCGAATTTCCGTCTAAATCAACAGTTCCAGCTGCGAACGCCGACTCTGAAACAACTTTCGTTAACTACGGTGGTGGGGCGCGGCGACGAAGTGGGGAGTGGCGGTGGAGTGGGGGTAGAGTTGAAGTTAGCCGCTAGTGGCGGTAAATATTCCCCAGCATAAACCGTTTAAAATCTTGTCGTAAAGCGACAGTCTCCGCGATGGATACGCTTTTTACTGCATTCGTGGGGAACTAATTAAAATTCGACGCGACGATATGGCTTTTATTGCAGAGATAAACAATTTTTCGTTCTTGTTTGGACACAGGAGAAAGCTGTTCCGTGCTTCTCGGCTGTTTCTCTTTTTCTTCCTTTTCTTTTCAGGGCTGGGAGATTATTTCGTTTATTCTGGTTATATTTCATTTTGATGGTATTTGAAACTTATTTCATTTTTGTTTACAGTTTTAGTGTTTTAGGTCCTTTTTTTAATGTCATTTCTGATAGAGGATTTGAATTAAATTGTTTAGACTGAATTATAACAATTGAGATTTCTTTTGTTTTGCAGATTTTGTTTGATTCTGTTTTTTAGATAGATAGGCATAATCTAATTAACCTATTAATCATGACACATTCAAAGCCTATATTCTCATTTCTGAAAATTAAAATTCGAAATTTTAACTATTTTGATATTAATATATTTTTATTATTGTTTTTATATTTATATTTATTCGTAATTTCATATGAATTTTGAATAAAATTTCATACTTTTATCAATTTTATTATCACTAAACATTATCAGGCTAAGAAATAATAAAGACATTAATTGAGAAGTATACTTGTACAACTATTTGTTCGACAATACTTTTGTATTTTGCGAACGAATTACAGATAATTTTATAATTGTGAAAATGTTATCGCTTTTTGAAAGCTCTTTCACCATGTTATGGAATATATGTAATATTTTATTCAGTTGAAGTAGAAGCTAAATTTAATACTATCTTAAACTATCTTAATTTACATATTTTTTAAAAAAACAAAGTGAAAAGAATCAATTCGAAACAGAAAATTCCATGAGTAACATCATTTTTTTAGAGTGTCTATACGTACTATCTTATCCTCAAATTCGAATATTTTCCAAAATCGCAAACTTTCCAAATTTTGTAATGAATATTATACCGGATATGCTCCTCTATATAGTACAACTTTACCAGTGAAATCTCGTGATTAACACGAATATTTTTCTAATTCTTTACTTAAGTATTGCTAAAAATTTTAATATCCTGTACCAAATATTACCCGAGTAAATACCAAATTATCTTACATTCTTAAATTACGAAGTTCATGTTTATATAATGTAGTTAATGGTTTTTTAAAATGTTTAAAACATGAAATTTCCAAAATACAAAATGTACCAGTACATTGAACATGCTGTAAATCTTGAAACATACAGGAGCACTAAATTTCATCAAACTTTTTAATGACCTATATCTCGCTAATTGATTACTATGTTTCAAAATTTCACGCGGCGTTTGATGCATCGAAATGTGTACAACAAATCGGACATAGTTTTACACTCGAAAAATTGTATTTTGGCCAGCTTTTTAGGCGAAAGTGCCCACTGTGCGTCGTTTATCTTCATTTCGTCGCGTGCGCGCGCACACGCGGGAATCCCCGTGGCCGGAAACGGCCGCAGAACGGAAAGAAGACAAACACGCGGCGGTCGGATGATTAATTTCCCCGAGCGCGAAGGAACGCCGCAGTGGCGCATATTTTATGCACGCGTTTAACTCTCCACACGCCAAGGCGAACTTAATTTTCACAGGATTCCATTATGCTTTTCGTTTATTAGGCCCTGTCTTAATAGAACCGGCGGCGATCCTCCGGGAGATCCCCGCCGTTGATAATCTGCCCACCCTCTCGCTTTCTCTCTCTTATTCATGTACTCATTGCGCCGGATGTTTTTCTTCGGTTCGTACGTGGTTTCCGAACGTGTTACTGCGAGATTTATCCTTTCCCTTTTTATTATTCCGTCTCTTTCTCTTCTTTATTAGGGATACGATTTCGCTTGGCAGATTGGTAGTGTAGATAAGTAATTTTTCACTTCCAAACGTGGACAAGAATTTTCTTTCCTTTTTTCGAAATAATGTATTTTCTGGAGAATTTATAAGCTCGAAGCAGAGATTTTGTATTTTCTAAAGGATTTACGAGGTTTCCTACTTTCTAACGGATTTACGAGAATCGGTTTTTGTTTATGTAGTTGCAAGTTTCATATAAAGATTTGTATTTTTTGTACAAGTTTTATAGCAGTGTAACGTGGTAGAGAATAGTGCCAAAAATTTGAAAAAATCGTCCTTACGCCTTTGTATCACGATGAACGTATTACATACGAAAAATATAAGGATATGGAGCAGTTATCACCTTATGTACCTTATAATATTAATATCTTACATTAAATTTAGCAATATATAAATATAATTAATGTTCGAAATAAAAAATACTACTCCTATTTTATTTCTTGATATTATTTATAAACAAAATTGGATTTGTACGAAATATATTTTAAGTGATATTTAAGTTCTCAAAATTGGAATTAAATTATTTTTACGATTGACTAATTATGAAAATAAGGGAAGACCATTTGCAACCCGTAAATATACATTATTTTAGTTAAATTCTCCTAAAAGAAATTTATGTAATAAAATTACTTATTGATAAATTAGTAAAAACATTGCAGGATCTTACATAATTAACCTATATTTTTTAATTGATTGGAAGACCATTTGCAACCCGTAAATATACATTATTTTAGTTAAATTCTCCTAAAAGAAATTTATATAATAAAATTACTTATTGATAAATTAGTAAAAACATTGCAGGATCTGACATAATTAACCTATATTTTTTAATTGACAAATATGCTAACCTTTAATTTTCTCGAAACAACAGAAAATGGAGTTGCACCACTTTCAAAATCAACGGTCCATATAATGTTATTAATTTGTTATAATTTGTTATAATAAGTTGAAGCAGATATTTTATATTCTGCAGTGAGTATTGTTTTTGAAAATATTTTTAAAAAGTCTGAGATTAACATTTTCAGAGTTGTTCTCTATTTGTTTCTTAGATACTATTTATCGAGGTATAGGAAGCTGCCAATGCGCATGCTCGAACAGATAGAAGGAAAAATGGCGGACACACTTAACATACGGACCCACATAGCGTTTTTCATTAGAAATTGTATTTGTTTAATAACGTAATTAGTGGTATTAACCCTTCCTTTCTGCAAAACTGGCATGAGAAAACTTGTTTTCAAGTTTAACTTCTTTATTTCATTGGTAGGTTATGTGTAAACAATTAGAATATTTGTTGGTAAATAAAACAGTTCGTATACACATTATGAGACGAAGGTTGAAGAAAAATACACTAGAAATTTAATTCTAACAGTCCTGGCACAAAACAGTTAGATCCCAAAAGGACATTCAATCTTATTTTCCAACTTTAACAGAGTTAAATTAATTCGAATATCGTGATATTCTTGCCTGGACAAGGAGGTATGTTAATTGTTTAAGGAAATGGAATTATCAGAAACTTTTTGATAACAATTTACCTGCATTCATTTAAAATATACATGTTAAGGTATTAGTTAAAGGTATTCTCTCAATTTTCCATTTCTTTATTTTACTTTCGTTGTACATACTGAACCTTTACATATTCAAATTATAACATTTGTGTACGAATAATAATGATAATTTGAGTAAAATTTTAATTGTACTTATTCAAATGGAAAATGTTAGAAAATGAAAGTATATTATAAAGATGATATGATTTGTTGTATATAATAATAAAAATGATCTATTTAAATATAAAATACTTTAATATCTTCTAATAAAATAATTAATAAAATATAGGAATATTTTTACACCTACATAACAGAATCACATTTTCGAAAGGTTAGTATTCTCAGATATTTTATATCATAAATTTCTTAATACTAAGAACACTGTAAAATTATATTTACACGAAATAGATTACAAATAGTATTGACAAATAAATTAATATTTTGTAACATTCTCTAGATATACTACTGCTCGATGCTTCGTATTCAATGTCTAGTTCGATAAGAAAATCGACCTCCACTGAGTCAAAGATCATGTCTGCAGTTATTTTTTCCCAAAATGCCATTCTCTCTGGATGAAACCTCTTTCTTACTACCACGTCTGGTTGATTATTAATTCCAAATTGTAGATACTTGTGAGAATTCTTGTAATTTGGCCACGGTCGTACATTCCAAGCCTTTGGTACCCTGTTACCGTAAATTAAAAATACAAAATTATTTATATATATATATATTATAATATAAGAATGAAATAAAAATTAAATTAAATTATTTGATTTTTTTAATAAAATTATTTAAAGTTTTAATGAAAATTATTTGTCTTCTTTTTCTTCAATTTACATTTCTATCAAAATTCATTTATTAAAATTCCCTTTATTATAATAAACTATATTTTCGTTATTATATTAAATTAGATTAGATTAAATTCAATTATAAAAACTCGTAACATATTTACTTTTAAAAATATGAGAATGAAAAATGAAAAGTATGATGTATAAAAATATCTTTTTTAAACTATTGGTATAGGTTTTCCTTTCCATCTAATAAAAGATAAATTTAAAAATGATTATTACAGAAAGCAGCAAAAATTATTTTAAAAAATTCATTTAGTATTAAAAGTTAAATAGTTACAGCATTAATAATTTATATAATTGTATATCTTTTCTTTACCCATTGGCTACAAAGCTGGCCCACATTTCAGTCATTATATTGATCATGGTAATATCGCTTTCAGTATTGTGTAACATGTGATCCCTATACATATGGTTTAGTTTTGGATATAAGTAATTTAAATCATCAATGTGTGCGACACCTGAAAATAAAAGATTATTAATTTATGTCAATTTATTTTGAACAGTTGACAGTTGCACAGTTGAAAATAAACAATTGTAAAGTCTCAAAGGTGAATAATATCAAAGATATTTCAAAATAACTAATATAAAAAATATTAATTTCTGTCAGGTTTTATGTTGTATTATTAAAGTATAGGTTAAATAAATTGTGTAAATAAAATATATAAATATAAATTATTTTCTTCTAGGTTACATTTTTATTAGAATTTAATTCAAGTATTAAATAGGTATGATAACATGAACAAATAGTGTTCTTAATTATTAAAATTCCTAAACTTTTAATTCTAGATTTAGAAAAATACAAAATTAAAATAATAATATGATTATAATAATTAACAAATAATGTTCTTAATTATTAAAATTCCTAAACTTTTAATTCTAGATTTAGAAAAATACAAAATAACAATAATAATGTGATTATAATAATTGATATGAAAAATAATATTTATTGCTAAATGTAATTGGGATGGAAAATATTAATTGCAAATAATTATATATTTTTTAATATTTATGTACATCTTAGGGAGTGATCAAAAATACCATAAAATTATCTACTGTAATAACTGAATCATCGTCAATCTGTCACACGATTGATACTGACCTTTGATAATTCGATATTAATTTATTTCGTACGTGATATCTGCAATTCAATTTGAAATTTAACCGTATAAAATACTCACCAAAGCGAATTGGAAGTCCAGTAGCGAAAGTACTGCTGAAAGTACCCTCGTAGGCAAACAAAAAGAAGTAAGTACTCGACTTCATTATTTCTGACTGGTACTTCAAAGTTTGATATGTTGGCCAGAAAATGAGAGCATCGGATGTTACCTACGAAATTTATGAATTTCCAGTATATATATGTAGTTTGCAAAATGTATTACACGTAATTATGTAATTTATTATTCATTTAAAATACAATTGAATAATTATTTCGTTACTTATCGTACGATCATTTGAATAGATAATAAGGTATCGTTCCTGTCATTTGGATGGAATAATTCATAACCGATGACGAGGGAAATTGTTTAATTAAATTATTCTGCTGCAGAAATTCGAATATACTCGATTAATTATTTTCTAAATATTTTTTTCAGAAACGATATTTACATAAATACCAGTTTTGTTCTTAATTATAGAATTTGTTTCGATAAAAGTTCGAAAAGGAATTGGACATTTCAAAATTTGTAAAATTAAGATTTCAAAATCGAAAAATTAGAACAAAGTAGAAGGAAATATTGAAAACATGTATACCTAAGAAAATGAACAATTTTTCAATTATTAAATCGAAAAATTTAAAAATTTAAAAATTCGACAATTAGTTAATTGGAAAAATTGAGAAACAAATTTATAAATTTGAATTCCTAGGGAGTTAAAAATTTGGAAACAAAATTTTGTGCATTGAAAATCTATATACGATGAAAATTGAAATTTTATAAATTTAAACCTTCGAATATTTTAAAGTTTGATGACAAGAACTTTGAAAAGTTGAAATCTCGAAACTCGTAAGCTTTATTATTATCTACTCAAAATATATTCAATATTTCCAAAATTTCCTTTACGCTATTCTAATTCTCCTTCGATAAAATTTTTGCAATAAAATATATAATTTTGCTTTTTAACCTATTTCGAGCAGTGTTTTTGAAATACTATTGTTCTGCACTTTTTCACCCAACGTATTCAAATTTTTATTACCATAAAAGAGAGAAAATAGCGAAAGAGTATGCACATGTACCTGCGTAATATTTTTCTTGAATGTCGCCGACACGTTCCCAGCAAAATAGAATTCTTTTATGGCGTCGACGAACTCCGTGGTGTTCGAAATCAGCTGAGTATATTCCAACATAGGGGGCAGTAACATTTCGAAATTATTTAGTAGTTCCTTCTCGTTGCTTTCGTCTGACAGGACGGCTTGAAATCGAAACGAGCAACTTTTTCAAAATTAATTAAAACTTATAATTGAATTCTGTGGCGAGTAATAACCGCATTACGGGGCGAAGTAATTTTGAAAAATATCTCATAAATTATTCCACGATGGTCTAATACAAAGAATTCGAGGAATCTGATATTCTTTATTGGAAAAGTCGGACACCCCAAGAAAGGTAGTTGTTGAGGGTTATTCAACGAAGACAAAGGATCTCGTTATCTTCTTTAAAGCGAATAAAACGAAATTTCAAGGTGAAAATCAAAGAAGAGGAATGGAGTCGAGAAGCTTCTGGTTTCTTAAACTCTCGTAATTTATAATACCAATTATCGATTTTATTGCGACTCGTTAATTAGGCCTGATAATAATTATACTGTGAACGTTCTTTCATTTAAGGACTGTCCTAACGTTGAATTGTCAAAAATGAATAAAATATGCGAAGTAAATAATTAATATAAATGAAATGAGTTCTCTGAAATATAATATATAATATTCGTACATGAGCAGTTTACATAACAATATGATTAACCCCACTTGTTGAATTTTCTTTAATTTTAGTGCGAAAGAACTTGATTAATGTTTAATTATTATATTTAATGTTTAATATATTTTTATATTTAAATTTCTACTTTTTGTTTTATGGGGTTAATCGAATTGGCGAATAAACGTCTGATATAATATAATTGGACTATATAAATAGACTAAATAGGCAGGTGATGATTAGTATAAATGGATGCTGGATGAAAAAGAATTTTCTGAAATATTATATAGGATTCCAATTTTAATTTCATGATAGCTGTCTATGAGTATTGGTTTTATGACAGTATGAGTGAATATAGTGTGAATCTTTTTGTTTAAAATATTATTTTGCGAATTGATGACGATATTTAAATATTATTATATAAATATATTAATTTGTTAACTGTTAAAAAAAGTATAAGAAATTTCCATTTCTATCCACACTTTCGTCATACTTAAATTCGAATATAGAATGTATGAAGGTTATCTATGATTTACCTGAATAATTATTAGTTATTTTAATAAATAATTCTTTTCTTCTTTTTAATAAAATTAATTCTGCATAGTTTGATTTATAATTGAGAATTTTTCTTTTGGAATTTACCCATAGTTTTCATTAAACCTTCGTCCTTGGTGACTCCTATAATAAATGGGATGTCCCTGAATCGGCGAGACTTCATCGCTGTTAGGGGATGCATAGTCAGTACGGCGTCCTCTGACTCTTCCTCTACAGTCGGTCCAAAAATGCAGCAGGGAGTCCAGAAAAAACCCTGTTTGACAACCATTTGATATTTATCAAACGAAAACGTCTATAACTTTATAATAGTATAATTACTCAATAATTGAAACAATTTTTATAATAATTTGACCATCACTGGTAGAATATTTCTAATTTGATAATAATTCGTAGAATATCTGTGATTCGATAGTAAATTTGTCTTATGATTTAATGGCGATTAATTAGAGCAAATTTCAATAACAATTATTTCGTTCCACAATTGACAACAATATTTTAAATTGACAATTTAATTTTGCAATTGGTGTCTTTTAAAATATTAATAGTGTCAAAATTTATTTTTCAAATTAATTCTAACTGAAGAAAAATACAATTATTTTCTCTGATCTTGTTATTAATACTATAGCACGTAATTTATTTTTCAAATTAATTCTAACTAAAGAAAAATACAATTATTTTCTCTGATCTTGTTATTAATACTATAGCACGTAATTTATTTTTCAAATTAATTCTAACTAAAGAAAAATACAATTATTTTCTCTGATCTTGTTATTAATACTATAGCACGTAATTTATTTTTCAAATTAATTCTAACTAAAGAAAAATACAATTATTTTCTCTGATCTTGTTATTAATACTATAACACTTGTTGTTGCGTAGAAAATAATATAGAAAATATGGCAAGTAACATTTCGACTTTGAAACTGTCACGTGACAACGATTTTAAACATCAATAAACTCATTGCAATAATTTCGTTAGTATTTTCTTACTTGACAGAAAATATCTTCCAATATTCTCAAACTAGAGTAATGATGAAAAATTTGAAAGAACGAGCAGAAATAGAAAGAATCTTACGGAGTAATCCAACATAGCAGCCATTTTCTTGCTCTTCATATTAACATTTCTCATGCACCACATAATTTCCTCTTCTTCCTCTTCAGTATACTCCTTATCCTCTATACTATTTTCTTTTTCTTTCGTCGTCACTTCCGGTTCGGTGGTCGTGGTCTGCACTCTGTCTTTCTTCTTATCTTTCTTATCATTCTGGTTATTTACTTTTGTCATCGTTTTCTTCTCTTCCTCTTTTTCTTCTTTAGGAAGACAATCGAATAATTTGGCCATCTGCAGCGCCATCTTCCTTGACCAGCTCTTCGTATTCATAGCCCAAGCGCTGACGGCGGTTCCGCCGTGCATGATGTACCTGTTGAACAGTCCTTCCGTTTTGTTGTTGAAGACCATCATGTGCACGGCGGCACTACCGGAGCTGTGACCCCATAAAGTCACGCGTTTCGGGTCCCCATTGAACGCGTCGATGTTTTCGTTTACCCATCGCAATGCCAGTACGATATCTTTTAGACCATAGTTGCCTGGACTAACTTTACTCGCCATGCTGAAGAATCCTGAGTGGATAAGATGGTAGATAAAATTGTATTAAAGCTTGCGGATTCGGATTGGGGAATGGAAAATTGAAAATTAGGAAGCTGGAAATTTTGGATGATCGTGACATTGGGGATAACTGTGACATTTGGGATGATTGTGATATTTGGGGTATTGCGGGATTGGGATGTTGAAAGAATAGGAATTGGGAGTTAATGATTGCGACATTGGGGATGATTGTGATATTTGAGATGACTGCGATATTTGGGGATGACTGTGATATTTGGGTTATTAGGCGATTGGGATGTTGAAGGAATAGGAGTTGGGAGTTAATGATTGTGGTATTTGGAATTACTGTGATATTTGGGATGACTGCGATATTTGGGGATGACTGTGATATTTGGGATGATTGTAATATTTGGGTTATTAAGCGATTGGGATGTTGAAGGAATAGGAGTTGGGAGTTAATGATTGTGACATTTGGAATTACTGTGATATTTGGGATGACTGCGATATTTAGGATGACTGTGATATTTGGGATGATTGTGATATTTGGGTTATTAGGATATTGGGATGTTGAAGGAATAGAAGTTGAGAGTTAATGATTGTGGCATTTGGAATTACTGTGATATTTGGGATGACTGCGATATTTGGGTTGATTGTCATTTTGAGATGATTGGGATGATATTTGGGGTATTAGAGGATTGGGATGTTGAAAGAATAGTAATTGGGTGTTAATGATTGTGACATTTGGGATGATTGTGACTTTGGGTTATCGGGTTATTTGGGATGATTGTGATATTTGAGGTATTAGGGAATTGGGATGTTGAAAAAGCAGGAGCTGGAAGTTAATCATTGTAACATTTGGGATGATTGTGATATTTGGGCTATTAGGAGATTGGGATATTGAAAGAATAGCAATTGGGAGTTAATAATTGTGACATTTGGGATTACTGTGATATTTGGGATGATTGTGACTTTGGGATATTGGGTTATTTGGGATGATTGTGATATTTGGGGTATTAAGGGTGTTGGGATGTTGAAGGAGTAGGAATTGGAAGTTAATGATTGTAATTTTGGGATATTGAGTTATTTGGGATGATTGTGATATTTGGTGTATTTGGGGATTGGAATGTTGAAAGAGCAGGAGTTGGAAATAATGAAATTAGAATATTAGTTATTAGCAATACGATGAATCAAGAAGTTGAATTGGTTTTGTAAAAGAAAAGTGATAATTGAGGGCTGAAAGATTAGAATGTTATGATATTGGAAAATTCGAGTGTTGGATACTGTGAAATTAAATTATTGAGAGACTGACCTATTGAAGTGCTAGATTATGCGAAAGGTAAAAATTGGTGATTAAAAAATTAGGATATGGAGATATTTGGATAGTAACAACTTGAACTATTGGAAAATTGAAGTATTCAAATTTTGGGGTACTGAATTATTCGAAAATTGGCAAATTCTGGACAATGGGTTCCTGGGATATTGAAATATTAGAAAAGTGAAAATTGGGGATTAAAAAATAATTGTACGTGACATTTTGGGTAGTAACAATTTAGACTATTGGAAAATTAAAGTATTCAAATATGGGAGTACTGAATTATTCGAAAATGGACAAATTACATATAGATCAATTGTGATACTGATCATAAGAAATTGAAAGATCGAGAACAAGTTAGGTTTCTGGAAAATTAAGTCCTTCGAATGTTTGAAGATGCATATATAAATAATTGAAATAAATGTAAATGTAGATAATTAAAATATTGAAATCAGAATGAAAATAATTTTCTCAATCTATGGAAATGCAACATAATTTACATAGGTAATTTACTTAAATTTAGTAAAATTTAATGTACTTAAAAATGAATAATAAAATTAATTTTGTTCAATATGTATATATATTAATATAAAATAAAAAGATACTCCATTTATATGAATTAATCGAATAATTCAACCTGAATTTATATCTTTTATAATATGGGAAATTCTTTGAAATGCTAAATTAATATTTGGACAATAATGTATTGATAATAAAAATCCTGAAATAATTTGAATTAATAAAAATAATCCTAAAATAGAACCAAAATTTCAAAAATAATTAATATTTATAGGTGTTGGTAAATAAATAAATCTAAAAATTGATTTTAAAATTTAAGGTACTTAAATTTTACTAAATTTAGTACCTTACTATTATTAAAATTTAAGGTACAAACTAAAAATTTACTTAGCTAATTTTTTAAATATTTCTTTAAATTTTAAGAGTCTCTTTTTATTTACATCTTCTGCCAATTTTTAATTCTTTTATTTGTCTATTTATGCATTAAAGAAATTTCCAAATATTGCTCGAAAATACCTACATTTTCCTGTAATTTTAATAGTTCGCTATAATGTTATTGTTACCTAGCATATTCAAACGGTAGTTGATTGTTACTAGGATTAAATCTTGGTCCATCAAATAGACTGGTGAGAGCTCGCGGCTGTCGGCCGTTCCGGTGACGAATCTTCCGCCATGGACGTACACCAATACCGGAAGGGTACGATTCTCCCTTTGGTTCTCCTTTTGGTTCTCTGAAATCTACAAACGTTTCCTGTAACATCGTCACTGTTTCCTTATAAATTCCACCGTTTGATCTCTGTCTACAATATTATTATTCTCCTACCCCGTGAAGAACCGTTCTGTCGGTATAACTATTCCAGAAGAACAAATAGCAGGGGGCAATAATTCACCCCACTTTCTAGATAAACAGTTTGCAAGTTCCTACTGTTACACCACAAAATTAGAAAATTCCTGCATTTGAATTAGCCAATAGAAAAATATCTAACCCTATCAGTGGCTCTCGTGAACTTAACTTTGTGACCAGTCAACTCTCGCAAAGCACAAATAGAATCGAGTCAATTCTGGAACACATACACGCTCTCTCAGTGTCAAGGTATTGTCTACTATTCAGGCATATCGAAATGTCAATATAATTTGATGATCGAACAAAAATCGATAAATCTTCCTGACTGAGAGAATCCATAAATTTTCTTCCTTTATTTATTAAATAAAATAGTTATGCAAATTTTTTAGCTCACTACAATAGTCAAAAATGGTAATACAATTTGGTAATCGAACTAAAATCAATAAATCCTCCTGGCTGAAGGAATCAGTAAATTTTCTTCATTTATTTATGCGAATTTTTTAGTTCACCACGATATTAGTTGAAAATGTTAATATAATTTGATGAGCGAATTAAAATTAATAAATCCTTCTGCACAACTCTTCAAGAAATACACTTTTCATTTGGGCCTGTCCGTCATTAACCTAACCTAACCTAACCTAGTGACACAATATATTGCAATCTGAATATAAAAGTATGTTATCTCTTTTTTGTGTTAATACATAATGTAATATAATATATAATATTGTGTAACATAATATTATATAATATATTTACTTTATAATTATATAATATAATATAATAAAATAAAATGAAGAATAGCAATAATTTGATAAATTGTCATGAAATATATTGAAATATTGAGTTATTTGAAATATTATCTCCCGATTTATGTTTATTAACATTTTTGAACTGATAACGAAAAGACTGTTATTAATAGTGTTATTATATGTAACATACTTGTCGTACGATTATGTCATTTGACTGTGTTTTGACGCAGATAAGTGTAATTAAAGGTATAACAAGGATTAATTTCATATGTATCCACTGTCTAATTCCTCTTTGAGTCATGTTTGTGTCAAATGAGCATAACGTAATAGCACTTTCATACCACGTTCATTGTTATATATTACATATTTAAAATAGTAAAGAAATATATAAATTTCAGTGGAGTTATTATTTCTAAATAAAATATTTTAAATTACAGAAACTTCTGTGATATTTATGATATTAAATACAAAAATATAAAAATAGTTATAATTTATATTTGATAATTTATAATTTATAAATTTGTAATTTATATTTATGTAAATTTTCTCATTCGATTATTAAAAATAGAAAAAGAACAAAAATATATAAATTTCCAAATTATAATTTTAATTATATTATTCCTCATTTTACTTTTTCAATTGTTTTATTGATTATTTTGCTTTAAACTATTTTAAGCTTTTTAATTGTTTTTCTCAATCTTTTATAGTAGCTAACGCTATAATATAGAAATGGTAATAATTAATGTTGCCAGTTTTATTTTAATAATTAATGTCTAAAAAGAGCAATAAAAATATATAAATTTGAACAAAGTCATATTTTTCGAAACAGTCGATTGGAAAAAGACAGAAGCTTATAAGATATGTGTTTATTACCCTATTACAAAAATGATAACGTTTGATGTCATCAGTCTCGGTTTACTACAAAAATAACTCCGCTCAGTTTTTAATTCCTCAGGACTTATCAATCTAAGTCTGCCTAATAATTCAATCCAAATTATCTCAACCAGCAATTCAAGATATTTGTAAAATAATATAAAGAGAAAGGAATTTGACTCGATTAATGGTAGCCTTGAGTCGTACAAATTTAATTAAATCGAGAGAAGACCTTGCGATCTAATCAAGCTCACATTTCAACGAAACTTCCATGTGTTTCACGAAACGCCTCCATAGTCGTTTTGAATTCGCACGAATTCTGCATTTTTACGCGTGAATCGCCTCGAAAGCAGCGTTTCATGTCGAACGTGATTGAACAGATCGAGGAGAATTTTAATATCCGTCTCCTTTTTCTTGGGAACCAATTGCTTTTGACTCCACGGAGATATCTTTCAGTGCTATGACGAGGAACTTTTGTTCGTTTGCATTTCACATTACCCCCTATTTTTCTTTATCTCTACATATTTTCATCATTTTTCCTCTTTTTTCTTGTTTCCTTTTTACTTTCCGTGATTTTTATTTCAATTTTTATAAATGATTACAACTGAATATGTTAACTATTATAAATCTAAGTAACATTCGATTTATTGAAAATTTTGATATAGATTTCTAATTCCTTCATTTGAAATTTGTAATTTTCAATTTATAATTTGCAACTTTTTAATTTGTTTTAAGAATCTTTATTTAGGTTAAGTTTCAATTTGTTTTAGGAATCTAAGACGTTTTAGTGTTTTTTCTATCCTCTTTCTTTTTTTTAAAAAATATTGTTTGTTTTTTACAGTTATAGAATAGACATTAAAGTGTTTATCTACTGAAGAATGATTCAAATGAAAAAGAAGGAGGAGGTCTATTATTGCTTTCTTCCTTTTTGTTTTTTAAAGTTATAACAACACACTATGCAGATTATTCATGGATTAATAAAAATGTTTATATTTAATTAGATTAATTTTCTATATCATTTTATCTTGTTTTAAATAATTTTATATATATATGATCATTATTTTAGATTTTAAATTATCTTTTATTATCACTTCAGTATCGAATTGCAAGGTTTTTGTGTCAATGGAAGTGTCATATCAAATATCAATGTCAATGTCAATGTCAATGTCAATGTCAGTGTCAATGTCAATGTCAATGGAAGTGCAATCAGTATTAATCTAATTCAGTTTTAAATCATCGACTGCTATATTATTTTCGTCTTTAATTATTTCATCTTTAATTATGGTTACTCTTTATTTATAAATTACTTTTTATTTTATATGCTCCTATTAAATTTAATATTTTTAGGAATTTGTATGCTGTTGAAATATTAAAAAATTAGAAGGAATTTAAAAAAAATATTTTAATATTTAAATATTCTTATACCTTATTTTATACTATCTTAAAATCTCAAATATGAAATATTGTATTATTTATTTTATTTTATTACTTATCGATTTTACAATTTATTTATTACGTATATATTTTATCGCTTATTTATTGTTCATTCATTTTTATTATATTTATTTGTATTTACTTTTATATTTTAAACAGAAAATAGATTATAATAACATCATTAGCATAATATTTAATCTTCCTCATCTTCACACCTGTTTTTAATTTTTCATAGTGATGCTAGCTACCAGTACAAAATTTTCTCTTCCATTTTCAATGATAATAATAGTTTATCGTAAATACACGTATAAAACTATAAAATCAAAATAGTTATTCTAGATAAGGGGGTGTATTCTTATATATTGCAGTATTACTTGTTAATATTACTTTTAATTAGCTTTTTGCTTCTTTTCTCTTTGAGTACTTACCACAGGGACGTAAATATTGAGGTAAAGACAGTCCTCGCTTCCAAATATTTCATTTTCCTCCAATTGAATGCACCAGGGGGCATTTTTCGTTGCCTCGAATGTGTCTTTCCACGTACGATTCCATGGCTGTGGACTCTGTTAAAGAAATATTTGAAACCCATAAAACACTGATATCTCGATAGAAAGATAAGGGAAGATATGGGAACATTTTCTCTCAAAATTAATTTATTTTTATTCATAATACCATTATTCGTTGCCTTCAATTACTATCATAATTACCATTATCTTGAACTAATATATGAAAAAATAATTTTCGTACGAGATCTAATTTTATATTGAAATTTATTTATAATCTTATATATGTGATTCGTTTATGGATGAAATTAATGCTTGAGTTAATGAATATTTGGTCCTTCTGTTTCCAAGAAATACAATAATACGAATCGTGAGAGCCGTTGTAAACGATATTGTGCGAAGTATAGTAGCATATTACTGAAAATAATAACATAAGAATTATAGTATATCTTCTTGTAGCTCACCTAAATATATACACAGAGTCATAAATTCCTCGATGAGTAATAATTTGATAATGTTTTATCCCAAAAAATGTTTCCAAAATAAAAAAGAAGGAATACAAGCGTTAATTGCAAATATTTTGGAATTGAATGAACAATATTAATGATATACATATATTATGAAAATTATTTGTAAAATGAAATTCTATAATCAAAATTTGTAGCTTGTTAGTTTCGTGATATTATTACTTTATGAATTATTGTGCAAAAGTAATTATTGTATGAATGTAGAATCATGTTGTCATGGTGTATATATATGTAAATTATGTACAAGTGATATATGTGTACCTTATACATACAATAAACATGTATCACATTATATAACTATATAAACTCTTAAATAACTATATGTGTTAATTATACCAGGTGAATTAATTATATTAATTTCTCAACCTTGTTTTGGTTATGGCTATTTCCCTTATTTTCTTAATATTCCTCTAAAATTTGAATTTATAAAATATACACATAGGTATTTGTACTATACTCTTATTTATATCTGTATATTATATAAATATTTACTATGAACATTTTCATGTGGTTTAAAAAAATTTATGTTGGTACCCTGGAGGACTATATGGTCACCATTGAGAAATACTCAACTATACTGTATTGTGCTCTAATATTTTACTATACATTAATATTCTATATCGTTATATTACACTATAGAGGGGCCATATAGCATTCGTTGATAAGCACTAAACTATACTTTCCAATTTATATTCTGCTATGCTATTTTATACTCTTATATTCTACTATACTGTTATATTATTATATTATATTATACTATCATATTATGCCATGTCATAATATCTCAACTTACACACTAATACACTGTTGGATTAAACTATTATATCATATTATAACTGTATAAATGGGAAGCTGTAATACACTAAACTACATAATGTGTATAGTGAACTTATTATACAAATAAATATACGTTATATCTATACAGTTTGCTCTATTTAAATCTCTCATTTGCTATTAAAATTAAGAAAAAGTATTTCCAGAATATACTTTATGTTCTTCCAAGGTCATTCTGAGAATCATTTTAAGATTGATATTTTTCTGCATATTAATCATTTGAAAGCCACGAGATTACAAGGTTGATCTAATTTTAATTGTAATTATAACAGAGTTATAAAAAACGAATGATAATATGCAAAAGATATAAATAACTTTGAAAAAGCCTTAATTTAATTGAGGCATTGTATGTACTATAAACATGCTCTTATAATATTTCAATGATAATATTGATATGAATAATACGATAACATTACAGTACTCTATATGTAAAATTTAATCCCTTGCACTACGATTTAATTATAAAAGGTTACTATATGTAGTCACTATATACCTATTTCATTCACAATTAAATTATGAGAGGTTGTAGAATTTATATCAGTTTTGTAGTATAATATAGTAATACACCACTATCCTATTATGGAACTCACTATATACAATCCCCACAAGAAATTCGATATTTCTGAGTCATTCAAGAAATGTTGTCTCACGAAAACAAGACATAAGATAATGAATTTATTGTATACCTTAACCCTTTGCACTCGAAACGTGACTCTCAGTCACTGTTTGTTTTAATGCTACAACTTAAATAATGTATGATGATAATTATATTAAGAACGTCGAAATAAAATTATTCTATTTGTTCGCTTCTCACACAAATTCACGATTTTCTTTTTTCAATTTTAGCATAAAGAGTATCAGTGAGCTTATAAAAATCTAAGAAGAGCTTCGAATTGCATTTTCACAACGAAGAAATCTTCGAGTCCAAAGGGTTAAGTTACTTATTGAGAGTTTTCATATATGATAAAATTACCAAATATTACCATAGTAATCATAATTTTACCACAGTGAGACAGTGAAAGTCCAAAAAATATTTGTAAACACCTCTATTTCGATAAATAGTAGTATTTACTAACTCTAATTGATAAAAATTTTCTGGTTGATTGGAAATGTATTTTTTAATGCTAAGATTTACCAAAGTTTGAGCTTTTATAGTAACATATACAGAGTGAACTATGTAACGTGATGCCTTAGACAATCTTTAATTATTTACTTATCGAAGAAGCAATATAAAATTGTTTCATAGTAATTATTTCATAGTAATGGTACACTGATTTTTGGGCACTTGATTTTTCTCATGTCAACTGTATTTCTAAGACAGGAAAGGTCAAATTGCTATCAAAGAAACGAAATCGATTGAAATAGTCATGTTAAACAACCCACCATGTATTGCATAAATATAGAACACGTCAAAGAACTACATAAATTATTGTGCGTATACAGCAATGCTCATTGAATCATCATAGAATCAAAGTCACGACACGTCAGTTATTCGTGGAGGCAGGTGTTTTGAAAAGTTTTCGACTTTCTTCTCGATTACGCTTATTTCATTAGCGAGAAAGAAAAGCCGTTTACCGTTTCTTAAATCTTCCCTACTTAGAAATAAATGGGGAAATGAAACACTGGGAAAGCAGAAATCAGTATATGTCAGTTGTTCATCACTTGAAATAGTCCTGAGATTTGGCGGGGATAATTCTACGACTGTCAAGCATGCATTAAGTACTATAAAGAACGATATGATAGTGTTATGTAACACTCGAGTACTATAACGTATACGGTATACAAAACCTGAAAAAATATTGCTGTAAGAGAAAATCGTAAATGGAATGGAATTTTGCCACACGTTTTATATTACTCACTGAGAGTTTATTTTTATACACTGCTACTATAAAAGAACACAGTACACATGCAATTTAAAAGCCAGGATATGTATGTCTAACAAAAGTCACACACAATGTATAAAATAAATAGCAAACCGAACTCACCTTGAGTCTTAAGTGACTCACCTGGAAATTAGTATATACCACTACTATAAAACATACTATACACATAACCTGAACACTCAAGACATATATCTAACAAAAGTTACCCAAGAATTAAGAAAAAATTAGCAAACTGAACTCATCCTATGTTTTAAGCTACTTACTGGGTGCTTGGTATATACCACTACTATAAAGAAAATAGTACACGTGAAACTTAAAACACTTAACACTTACATCTAACAAAAATTACTTTAGAAATAAAGTAAGAAATAGCAAACAGAATTCACCTTAAAGCTTAAGTTACTCACTGAGACTTTAGTTTATAGTATTATTAGAAAACATACTATACATAACACGTGTAAACCCAAGACACATATCTAACAAAAATCACTCTAGATAGAATGAAGAAAAAGCGAATTGAACTCACTTTAAATCTTAAGTTATTCGCTTGAAAATTAGTATATATTACTACTATAAAACGTACTACATACAGAATACATCTCAATACATATATTTAACCATAGTCATCCAAGGAGTAAAGAAAGAATAGCGAATTGATCTCACTCTAAATTTTAAATTACTCACTGAGTACTTAATATATACCACTACTATAAAAAGGACATAGTACGCATGAATTTTAAAACACTTAACATATATATCTAACAAAAATCACTCTAGAAATGAAGTAAGAAATAGCAAACCGAACTCACTCTAAATCTTAAGTTACTCACTGGGTGTTTACTATATACTTCTACTATAAAACATATTACACACGAAACCTGATATCTCAATACATATATTTAACCATAGTCATCCAAGAAGTTAATAAAGAATAGCGAATTCATCTGACTCTAAATTTTAAATTACTCACTGAATATTTAATATATACCACTACTATAAAAAAGACATAGTACATATGAAATTTAAAACACTTATTATATATATCTAACAAAAATCACTCTAGACATGAAGTAAGAAATAGCAAACCGAACTCACTCTAAATCTTAAGTTACTCACTGGGTGTTTACTATATACTGCTACTATAAAACATACCATACACAAAACTTGAAAGCTCAACACATATATCTAACAATAGTTACCAAAGAAATTAAAAAAGGATAGTGAATCGAACTCACTTTAAATCTTAAGTTACTCATTAGCTGTTGAGTATATACCACTACTCTAAACCATACTACACATAAAACCTTAAAGCTCAACACATATATCTAACAATAGTTACCAGAGAAATAAAAAAAGGATAGTGAATCGAACTCACTCTAAATCTTAAGTTACTCACTGGGTGTTTAGTATATACCACTGTTCTAAAGCATACTACACACAGTACTTGAAAACCCAAGACGTATATCTACCAAAAGTCACTCGAAAATTGAAAAACAAATTGCAAACTGAACTCACTCTGAATCTTAAGTCTCCGACTGGTGGTTGAGCGTAAGGTATACCCAAATAGTATGCCACGAGTCTCCCTCTGGTGCTCCTGCTCCACAATCCCTGGATCTCTCCGTACTTGGTCATCACTTTGGCCGTGTACGCTTCGAATCCATTCACGACCATCAAACACACCAACAAGGCACCCAGCCAATATTTACGGTACGAACGTTCGGCCATCACGCGCGTTCGTTGTCGCTTGTGCATTTTCGAAAAGCGTTTCGCGCGATCACAGGCGTGTGAATGAGGCTGAGGCGCGTGCGGACGGACAACAGAGTCCGATTGCGCGGCTGTAGCAGACTAGGCGAGTCGATTAGGCTGATTCACTCGCGAAACGTGGCGTGGAGCCAAATGTATTTGCCACGGACCAACCGAATCATTCTTCTTCTTCTTGCCATCCCTGCAATATCGATGGTTGTTTCGCGATGTTTGGGGTTGTTCGATCGTCGATCCAAGCTGTTGTGGACGTTGGCGACAGTTTTGCATTTGATTCGTCTATTTGTTGATCTGTTGGAGTTGATGGGAATGGGATCGAAACGCGTGCCTGGGATGCTAGTGAAAGTCGATTATGTAAGGCGACTGTTTGGCAGAGTGTATTGCTTTCGTTGCTTGATGCTGGTGCATCGAGGTTTGCATGAGGTTGCTGAGTTTATTATAGAGGAGATATTTTCTGGGGTTGTGAGGGTTTTAGAATAGTACACTGATGCTGATTGAAATAGAGTTGGGAGGAAGATTGGTTATTTCTGTTGGGGATTGAAATTTTTATTAAGATTAGGCATTGAGAGATTGACTGGCGTATGGTCCTTTTTAAATGATAGATTGTCGTATTATTACCAAATAATTTATTGAGAATGCAAATAAAATTTGTTTAACGAAATTGGGTATTATTAGATCAACTAGTGGATAATTTACTAATGGAATTGGAAAATGAGATAAAATTTTGGCTGGAAAAGTTGATTATTAGTCAGACTTTTACCAAAATTACTTATTGGAAAATTAACAAATGGTTCCCTTTAAATGCTAAATTATTTGGAGTTTTTGGAAATTGAGATAAAATTTTGGTTGGAAAAGTTAATTATTAGTTAGACTTTTATAAAAATTACTTATTGGAAAATTAACAAGTGATTCCTTGTTAATTTTCAAGCTTTTGAAAATTGAAATAAAATTTTGCTTTAAAAAATTGGGCATTAGTCAGACTTTTATCAGAATTAATTATTAGTAAATTAACAAGTGATTCCTTTTACATGATAAATTATTTTGAGCTTTTGGAAATTGAAATAAAATTTTACTTGAAAAAATTGATTATTAATCAGACTTTTATCAAAATTAATTATTGGTAAATTAACAAGTGATTTCTTTTACATGACAAATTATTTGGAGCTTTTGGAAATTGAAATAAAATTTTGCTTGAAAAATTAAGCATTATTAGTCAGATTTTTATTAAAATTAACTAAAGATTGATTGATATATAGTTCTTTTGGGATGATAGTTTATCATAGGCTATTAGGAATTAAAATAAAATTTATTTAAAAGGAAGTAATCAGTACTATCATAGTATTCTTGAGTAATATACTTAAGTATTCCTGAGTAATGAGTATTCTTAAGGAGCGAGTATTATTAAGTATTATCGCATTTTTATCAAGATTAACTATTAGAAAATTGTCAAATTCTTTTTTCAAAAACGATAACACGTATTAAATCTACTAGAAATTAAATAAAATATTCTTTCAAAATTTAATTGAATTGTTTTCTTTTTAATAATAAAATTTTTGGTTAAAGGCAAACTAATATTACTTAAATTATTGCATATTTAAATAAAACTGGAGTTTGAACAAATGTCATGAATCAATTAGGAATTAACTGCAGATACCTTACACTTTTCTTCACGAGTAACACAAGAAGTATATTTTAGCAAAAATATTTAAATCATAAACTCAATAATCGGTAAACTATTTAAAGTGATAAATGGATTCACTTTTTCTAGAAGTTTCTTCTCCCTCACTCACTCTTAATAATAATTACATGTCTGTGTTCACTCCTTGATAACTTTCAGGCAACTATTTCATTCTCCTTAACATTTTTCCAAACATCACTCATACTAGACGGTACTCGCACATATTATATTTAGCTCATAGATTACACATTTATAGATAAATGAGTTTCACTCATTCAACTCACTCACACTCACACACATCAAACTAACACTCACATTATGCTACTATATAAAATACCTTCTCTGTCAAGATAATAATTTTAAATGATTTGTACGAATTAACTCCACAGTATTTTTTGGTTCTTTTCTGTGAGTCAACCAGGATTCCTATCAAGTTAGAATAACAATATTTAATTTCTTCATGGAAATCTCAATGTTGTTTTTTGATAAATAAACCTCTATTTTCCTTTCGTTTATTTTAACCAAATTTCCTGTTTTTAGAGATTTCAATATAATTTCAAAATTCAAATAGATAAAAATCTCTATTAAAAATATGTTTTAATGTTTCCATACGAAGCAAAAATATGAAAGAGAAAAATATACCATTGCCAAGAGGATATAGTGAACTGACTCAAGCTCGTTACAAAGTAGAATTTCCGTAGTAAACAAGATCGTATACCAGATAAAAAAGGTTGGTTATAAATAGTTGAAATTAATAACCAATGGCCATCAGAATCATTGGAATACTAAAACAGCTATAATTCAGAAATAATTCTACATAATTTTCGTTTTTATTTTTTGTTTTTAATAACACGAATTCACAACTGAAATATCCTTTATATCATTTCCTTTTATATTTTTATTCGACATGAAGGTACGTTTCGAAACATTCTATATATACAATGTAACAAACTTCGAAATTTACTCTTTCTGCTAACAGAACCTAATTTAATATATTTAATCTTAACAATATTAAGGATAAAAATTTAAAGATAATTTGAAATTTTTAAAATTGTTAAAATCAAAATTTGTTTAAGAATTAAAACAAAAACTCTGAAAGAAACGAATTACAGGAAAATAAAATATTTTTATCTTATTATATTAAAAATTTTATGTAGGAAATTCATAGAAAATTCATTATCTATGATTGAAAATGGATTGTTTTCCATTTTTGCCATTATTCTTCAGGAATTATCACGTGGAGTTAACTGTATATGCTTTTGTTGTTGGTTGAAAGGTAGTTATTCTTGACATCATTGATGAATTGGTCAAGGTTGTCACGTCATCAACACAGATGATTGTATTGTCGCTGAATGCAGACCCTTTTTTTGTTAACGGAACTTATACTTCCTGGCATTCTGGTCATGTATTGTTACGTATACCCTGATATAGTTCACTGGCTTACATCATAATTCCTTCCTATCGCAAATATGTTTTACAGTTCAAAAAATATAGTAATTTGGAATTTTTGCTTAATCACGTTTATATTATAATTATTACTTTTTTAATTTACATGCAAGGATATTTTCAATCTTTATAAATATAATACACACAGAAACATTCCAATAAACAACGTTGTTGAAATAATAAATATCAACTCACGAGAATTACGATGTTTTATTGAAATACAACAAAATTGTGCAGGGCGTAAGAAAATTGATATTTTATTCCATTTTTATGGTTAGAATGATTAATAATATCTAAAACCTTTTTTAAGGAGTAACTCGCGAAATGTATTTTCCAAAATTTTCTTCCCTCTCACTCACTCTTAATAATTATCACATTTATATACTCACTCTTTGATATTTCTCAGACAACTCTTTCATTTTGGCACATTCTTCTAAACATTTTTTCAAATATCATTCACACTAGACGACAGTCGGTCACATTATATTCATATCACATGTTGCACAATTATAGGACAAATGAGTTTCACCCATTCAACCTCACTCACACTCACACACACAAAACCAACACTCACAATTAACATACTCGATGTGACCCACGTGCTTAACTAAAGCAATATTAAAATTTTCACTGCGTAAATAATCAAAGTCTGTTTTGAAACTGACGAATGTCCTTGAATTATATTTTACAGAAATTTTCCAAAAAATAAATAACGTGCTGTAAATATAGTTTCCTCCTCGCAGTGTGGAAGTGAAGGTGTTAAATTACGTTACGCGCATCTCACGACCATTGCATTCCATGTATTCTTCTTCGAATCGACAGTAAGCATGGCTCACGAACGAATCATTTTTGCGAAAAATGAATTGGAAATGTTTCGACCCGTTACGTGGAGACAACATTGAGTGGTCCACCGATGAATATTTTTCATCCTCGATATTTTTCCCGACTGCAACTCGACACATGTATCGACACAACTGTATATTCGATACATGTATCGAGGCTATATTGTAGGTAATGTTAAAGCGATATTACGGGATTTCGCAGTCGAATAGACAGTCACTCGTGTCATATGAATTCCTGGGATTTCCCTCTGTCCCATTCACGCGCCGTATTTCTCGCTCTTAGATGCATACTCGATCGAGGAAACGGACAATCACCGAAGCTCGAGCGATTCCAAGAAATGTGCCACTCGATCCTGATTATTACAGACGAAGTAATTGGCAATTATTTTCCGTGAACAAGTTATACGTGTACTGAAATATCGCGGTAAGAGGTAATTGCGCGCGAAAGATGGCCTGGAATGGAGAAATTCTTAACGATTAGGTGATCCATTCGAAGATCAATTACCATGTACGTTCTTGAACATCGGACAGGTGATTTTTTGTTGGCATAAAGAACGAGTTATCTTAGCCGAGCTTAGAAAAAAACTCCAGGAATCGATGCGACACGAGTGATTATATTATCGAATTACGACGTATGAAAACGTTAGGCCTGATTCAAGATACAAGCTCGATACATGTATCGAGAAAATTTCTTACTCGATACATGTATCGAGCAAATTTCTCACTCGACACATGTATCGAGCAGATTTCCTATTCGGTACATGTATCGAGCAAATTTCTTGCCACCAGAAAAATATTGACCGAACAGCGTTAAGACATTTTCGATTAAATCTTATGGATAACGGTTTATTCGCGATACGTGTTAAGAAAGAAGATTGACCTTGAAAACCGTGCGCAGAAGATTATGGCGAGTTGCACAGCAACTTTTTCTTATCGAGTCTTCACCTGCTCGAGGTTGTAGGCATGTGTATAACGTAATAGTCGTGACATCGTTAATTCTGTAATGATATACGATGATATACGATGATCCTATATAAAACCTGTACACATTTTTAAATTATGGAACGCACTATTTTCAAAAT